AAAAAAAAAAAAAAAAAACGCGTGGACTCAAAGCCTCTGTCCCAATAGTCCGCAGGCCCTCGGCCTTCTTTAGGGCCCAAAAGATCCGAAGATCCGGCCCTCAACAAAAAGCTCCCCAAGGAAGAGCCCTGAAGCTCTAAACCCTAAAGACCCTAAACCCTTCAACCCTAAACTCCTAAACCCTTAAACCCTAAAGGAAAAAACCCTAAACCCCTAAACCCTAAACCCTAAACCCTAAACCCTAAGAGCCCTGAAGCCTCCTTGGCTTCCACCAGGTCTCCGCTTCATGTCCTCTGGCCTCTCCCCTGGGACCTCGGATCGGGGTCTGGGACGAGGAGCTGCGATTCACCAAAAAGTGTCTAGGAGGGTTTAGGGTTTAGGGGGGGCGGAGGGAAAACTTGGGGATTCGAAGGGTTAGGATGTTTCGGGCTTGAGGCTTCAGAAGCTTAGGACCCTAGAGGGTTTAAAGGCTTAGGTGAGGGCCTTTAGGGTGTTTAGGGTTTAGGGTCGAGGGTGTCGCTGTTACTAAGTTTTGTTTCTTTTGCGGCCCAAGATCGACTTTGCAAGGCTGCACAGGACTTAGGGTTTAGGGCCCTTGCCCTTCCGTCGTCTTTCTGGTGGATGATCTTTTGCCTGGGTGGAAGAGCAGTGAAAGCAACGACCTGTAGTTGCAGTTTTAGGGCTTGGGGTTTAGGGCAGGTGTTTGGTTCCAGGACGACATTTCGGTGTAGCCGTGACACTCGGAGCGGGTTCTCTGGGAGGGGTAGTCGGGTCGTTGCTGCAGGTGTCGGGTTCTGGACGAGCTGGGAGCTCGAATTGCTTGGGTGGGTGGCGCTCGCTGTTTGTCCAGTTCTGTGAGCCTGCCAGGACGTCTGTATGACAACATTACAGACGCTTGATGCCATTGGCTGCTGTTGTCTTCAGCACTTCGGGTTCGGAGACCAATTTAGCTCATGTCGGCTCTAGTTGGCATTCATGTGCCTCCTCTCTCTGCTGGTAGTGTCGGTGATTTGCAAGACACCCTCCCCGAAACATAGTAGACCGCCATGAAATGCTTCGCCGTTGATTTGTAGAACTGCGCCTGCGATGCTTCCCGGAGGCTTCAAACTTCAGATAGGACTCCCCGGCGGCCTGATTGGGTGCGGTTGCTTCTTGAGGGCTTGGGTCAAAACCTGGGGAGCAAGTGATCCGAACCCTGGCCCTCACCATGACATTTAGGCTAGAGGCTAGGATGTGATGGCTGCTGTATTGCCGGCGCTGCACATGAGCCAGGTGCAACAGGCTGTATAGAAGCCTTGTATACCTATCAACGGTGAAGCCCAACTTCCAGATCCCATATCGCCAAGGAAACCGTGGGGAACACGCCCTGCGTGAAGATTTCGGATGCCATTTCCCCCCTTGGGCGAACAATCTACGGCAAGCTGGAGTTCTTTAACCCGCTCTCCAGTGCCGCCCAGCTCATGCGAGGTTTCTTCCTTAAGGATTTGTTGGACATAGCGGCGACCCAAGCCCGAAGAATAAAACCTCCTGGCGTAACAGACGGGGCTTCGGGGTGTCTATTAGTAGTGTGGGCAAAGAACCTAAGAAATCGTGTTCGTAATTCTTCAGGCTTCTATGTTACCTTAGGCCTTTATAAAACTAACCCTAAACCCTAAGCCCTAAACCCTATGGCTATGTTACCTTACTAAAGCTGCTTCGGTTTTTTAGAGTCCTGGTCTTGTCCTGGAGGTCAAGGATCGTCTGGCCTGCGGCATCATCGAGGCCAGGAGTCTTCGACTCGGGCTCCACAAGGTTTCCCTATACTGTTGAGGATATACGTCTTTTGCATGACCTTAAGGCCCCTAACCTATTGGGAATTATGGCATATTCCTGATTATGGGTAGTGCAGGATTTCGATCATCAACCGTGTGAGCTCTTACATGGGCTTGCATTAGAAGGCGCGTGGTTTCCGGCTTGGCGTGTTGTTTTCGGGTTTGGAGATATTGCTCTGCTGTGGAGGTCTTTGGCGTGATTTTTTTCCCACATGTAAGATCGAGTTCCGGGTTGCTTAACCTTGTTGCACAGATGTACCGCGTTATATCCTGCCAGTTCCTCGTTCGGCTTGATTGTTGCAAGACTTTGATCACCACTGCCATGGTGATGTGTGCTCCTCTCGCCGTCATGCCCAGCCCGTCCCACTCCGTCATGTCATTTAAGCAGCATCTCGTCTTTGAAGCCTCGACCCCGAGGTGCTGCAGAAGAATGATTAAGGCTCCGTGCTTGTCTTGGGAAAGAGAAGCTGCAGAGTGACCCCAACACTACTGACAAATCATCACTAGTCCCTCAAACCCCACCCAAAATAATGATAGTAACCTTGACCACCGCGGATTTGAGCACAGTTCTTGTCAAGCAGCACAACTTCCACCCAATATTTGTACAGCAGCGAGCAGTGCCACCTTCAAGTCATGGACCCTCCGCTCAAATCCTTCATCGTCACATGGTTTGCAAACCTGCTTGCTGAAGCTGTTGTGATGAAACAGCCACTGTTGTGGCTGTAATCGCCTTGTGGCTCTGACACGAGCGACAAGAAGCACTCTCTGAGTTTCCATTTAGGGTTTAGGATTTAGGGCAGTGGAACCAACGATGTTGGAAGATGGGAGCCCTACACATCTTCCATACACCGCTATCGGGACCATGCAGGCGCAAACAGTCAATGGTCAGACGCATCAACTGTTGCTGGTCTCAAGGCACTCAGGCGACTTGCATGAATATGGTCCTTCACGTCTGAAGCCTTCAAACCCTTCCTTGGCGACATCTTGCACCCATGGAGCGCCAGAACCAACCACGAAGCCCAAATCCTGAATCCCTCAGCCGCCCTCCGGTGCAGGATGCGGAAAGGAAGGGACAGCTGAAGCCTGGCGACACCGTCATCGAGGTTCATGGGATGCATTCATCCCTGAAAATCTCCCTGGGTGGTTCTCTAAATTAGGGCCCTTGTAGGTCCCCAATATGGTACGGCACCCTTATAAAAAGGAACCCTAGAAGGGACCCTACCCAACGCCCCCCCTTAAAAACGTGTTCCAAGGCCTCCTCGGGAAACACGGGCATTGGTGTGGCCATGCTGTGTGCACAGCGCGGGTACAAGCCACACGGCACAGAATGAGGGGGTTTCGGGGTTTAGGGCTTCGGGCTTCCGAGTTTGGGATTGAAGTGTTAGGGGGGGGAGGAGTTTCGGAGCTTGACTGAGGGGACTTTAACTTTGGGGCCTATGCGCCTTCGAGCTATCAGCAAAGCCAGAACCACAGCCTTAATAGCTCAGGTGGAGAAGAGTCATGGTGAGTACAGAGACGTCGAGATGCGCAATGGTTCTTCGCGTAATGTAGCTTCAATACTGTCATTAGAATAGGGTTTAGGGGGTTCCTTATTGTAATCATAGTATAATATACCCCAAACCTATACCAATTCTTAAAGCTCCTATATTAGCCGAAGATGTGAGGGCCATGCTGTGAGGCGGATAATAGACTCGTCGTAGACCTCAACTCAACTCCGGAAACCTGAACTAGACCCTCGTTGGCAACATGTTATCATGCAAACCCAAGAAGGATTAACAATGAAAATTTCTATTATAGCCCCAACAGGGAACCAGTGAAGGTGCTACTCCTTTAACCCGAAATCCTTAGACAATGACCAAAAGCACCGATGTGAACCCGAGAAACGGGACTGGACGGGGAGTGGACGCACTGGAGGGGGAGAAGATGGTGATGCATCCCCGGGAATAGCATTTCTTCCCCAAAACTGAGCTCTTGTTAAGGGTTTCAATTTATGTGACCATAATAAGTAAGCCATATTATGTACTATTGATCCCTATTATGGCAAACTTGTATTCAATCCCGCAACAAGAACTCAGAAAACGAGTTGTGGATTCGGAAGTCTTGAGTTCGGGTTTTTCTCAAGGCTGCATCTACGGGCCACGCAGATTATACAAAGGGTGTTTTGAAAGGCGCCAGGGCTATCGAGAAAGTGCCCCAGAAGCATGCAATCCTTTCTGCATCATCTAGTCAGAACCTCTGAGAAACACGAGACGAGGAGTAAACCATAGTAAACCCTGCACCCTAATCAGACCGAAAACCATAGACTCTGGAACAGGAGTCGAGGAGAACGTAGGAGTCGGGCTCCACGGGACTAAGGCCTAAGGCCTGAAGAAAAGCCCCAAGCCTTCAGCAAGGTGCGTCATCGTCATGGCTGAGCCGTACTCCATCGAGCGTCGCAAGTTGATGCGTTTCCTGGGGGCCAAGGCCGGCCTAAAGCTTCAAACGGAACTCTTGACGAAGAGCCCCGAGACTGCAAACGACCTTGCCGACCTTGAAGGGACATGTTTTTCTAGGGATCCTAACATCAAGGCCCTTACAGAAGCGGGGTTTGAGGCATCAGGGGTCTACGGTAGGGGTTTAGAGTGTAAGGGACCTCGCGATTCAGAGATTGAAGGGTCTAGAGTTTGACGGTTTTGTTGTTGCAGAGTTGAAGGGCTATGCAGGCGTCGTTTAAGGATATTAGGGAGATAGGGTTTCGGCTTTAGGGTTAGGGGTTTACGGCTGTGTGAGGGGTCTTTCGGAAGGACGTCCCTATCTCGATGTCTGTGACCAGGTGAGTATCCCCCCGTCGGCCTTCACCTAGGCCCTACTGGCAGTCTGTGACCAAATCATTCTTCCCGTTAAGACACTCAGAAATGATGACTCGAAAGCCTGTTAACGAATTCCTTCTGCTGGTCTGTCTGTCACCCGACGATCACCCGGAGCTGTGACCAGGTGGTGATTACCCCGAGGGAGTTCAAAGGAACTGGCATGGGAGGCAAGGCCAAGGAGTTGGCAGACGCGCATGGCTGGCGACTTGGCAACCGTCTATCTAGGACATTTCCAGGCGGGTAGTTACCGTTATAGGAGCCTTGTAGAAGGTCTATATACCTTATAGAAGCCTTATAGAAGCCCTGTATACCCTAAACTCCTTACCTGTAGTTTCCTTTGAGTCTACGCTTCGAGGCTATCGGGGGCTCGGGCGCATTCTTCTAGACTACACTCCCGCAAATGTCCTCGTGGTTATCGGTGTCGACCCGCCACTGCTGGCCCATGAATAGTGTCAGGATGGATTGGGTGTCATATCTGTGCTTGTGTCGCAGACATAAAGGAAATTTTTCGACAAAATCACAAGACACACACACACACAGAAATGTACGCACACGCACTCCACTGTACTAGTATCATTGAGCCCATAAACCCTAAACCTTGAAGACGGGGTGGGATCGTGCAGCAGGGACGGGACAGTCTTTAATTTGGTGTCTCGGAAATAATCGGAATGCCACATTGCATTTTCCAACAGTTGGTCAAGACTAAAGCTTACACCTTGACCAAGAATAACCCCGCACCCAAAACTGGCTGAACTCGATGACTGAGAGGCATACTTTGGTGCGTGAACCCAGTATGTATTCATAGCTGAGATCTTAGATCGCAAACTCGAAATCCCGACAAGACCTTCGACAGCTTCCGGCACGTCGATTTGAGGTTCCTGTGTCGACAGTTTGACAATGACGTGAATGCAGAGACTCATTACACCACCATGGGTCGGGAGATTCTGAACGACTTCAAAGGCATGACGCTTGACCGAAGGTTGGTGATTCCAGCTTTCCACTGCCGCAGTTGTAAACAGTCCAAAAAGGCAAGCGACGGTTAGGGTTTGATGACCGTAACGGCGTTGGTCTAGCCATCACCGTGTTCTTTCGTATCTCCAGTTTTGGCACAGGACATTTCAGAGTTGCGGGGCCTTTTTCTTGATGTTGATGTGTCCACTTGCTCGCTTTCCCTCGGACATTGGGTTTTCAGACACATAGTGGCTTGTCCTAGAGTCACCCCACCCCACGCTGGACGCCAAACCTTGAGCTTAAGCCCGGAATCCCAAACCGACGAATCTTTCAATGCAAATCCTGAGCCTGAGGAGCTTGTGGAGTCTAGAGCCCCCCTGAACCCTAAACCCTAAACCCCTAAACCCCTTAAGCCCTAAACCCTAAACCCCCTTAATCCCCTGAGCCCCTAAAAAACATCAGAAATCCTATTTTCTGGCCGCCCGAGGAAGCTCGATTACTTCGTCACCGGCTATGGCGCTGGCGGCACTTTTGCCGGTGCAGGCCCGGCCTGTAAGCACTGTAAGGCCTAGATGGGACTTTCCGAAAATAAGGGTTGAGGGTTTAGGGTTGAGGGTTTAGGGCCTAGGGTTTAGGGTTTAGGGTACCTTATTTTGGGGTCCTTATGATAAGGATCCTAGTATTTAGGGTACGAAATTAGGGTCCCCCATCTCCGGAAACCCCCCCGGATGAGCTGTGTTTAAGCTGAAGGCTCTTCGGGCTTTGCATCTCGGGTTTAGGGTTTAGGGGTTTAGGGTTTAGGGGTTTAGGGTCAAATCTTGCAGTCATTTCGAGAGCGGCGGAAGGGCTTCTGGAGATGTCCACTGCTGCATCCTTTGAAGTTGTGCCCGATGAGTGGCATTGCAGACTTCAAGGTTTGCTCTAAGCCCTCGTTAGGTTCCCAGCAGAGGCTCTTGCAGGCTGCATGCAAAAGGGTTTAGGGTTTAGGGGCTCGTGTTTGAGGTTGAGGGTTAAAAGTTATTAGGTTCTTGAGTGCATTCGCTGTCTCGTCACAGCTCTCGCCGCAGTCCCCTGTTGCCTGCGAGCACAGTGTATGCTGGTCTTGTGCCTACCCGAATCCTGTGCACGCTTCGGGCGATTGTTTGCAGCAGCAGTTCCACGTTACTCTTACACGTTGTTGCCTTTGGGCCATTCCGCGTCCTCATGTTGAATTGCTCGCTCTAAGAGTGCTTGGTGTGTTGCAACTGTTTCGCCTGGCATGTCTTCGGAGCTCGCTTCGAGTGATCTCTTGGGGTAGCGCTTGGGATGATCTCTTGCAGAGCACCTAAATGCCCTGAAGAGCCCTTGGACTAGCTTGTGGTGGTCTTACATTAAAACCCTAAACCCTGAACCCCAAAACCCCCAAACGAGAGGGAAAAAACCCTAAACCACTGCTTTCGGTCTCCTCAAGCTTCAGCTTCTTGACTGTAGAGAGCGGAGGGTTGAAATCCCTAAACCCTAAACCCTAAAAATCCATCCCAAGCAGGCAGAGCCATCCGAGACGAGCGCCCCGAGGCAGGAGTTGTCTCTGAAGACGCTGCGACGGTGCTCACATCCCCTTCCTCTCGCTCGCCCTCAGCCCTAACACCCTGCAACCTGAAATGACCTGAATTACGAAGCCAAGGGCCCATAGTCGATTTAAGCCCCAAACCCGAGAAACACGAGCACCTACGTACAAGCCCTAACTCTTAAAAGATAAACGCCTAAAGCTCTTATTGCTTAAGGGTCCGTTGTGTCTTGGAGTGATCCATCTCTCATGTCTGATGCTTTCACCTTGCCGACTCAAGACCACATGCCTCGCCTGGATTTCCCGAAGCTCTGTTGCGCCTTTTTCTCTGAAAAATAAAGCAAAGCGCAGAAGCTCAGAACCCTAAACCCAAAGCCCTAAACCCCTAAGCCCTAAACCCTAAACCCAAAGCCCTAAACCCTAAAGCCCTATAAGCCCTATAAGCCCTATAAGCCCTAAACCCTCAACCCTAAAGGTCAAGGTCTGCTTGGGAGAGCCAGAGGATGCTCCGCTCGCGACTTGGATCTGCAAGCCGCCTTGCCTTGGGACTGTGGGGGTGGGGGAGGGTTTAGGGTTTAGGGTTTAGGGCATAGGGTTTAGGGTTTAGGGCTTAGGGATTTAGGGTTTAGGTTGAGCTTGGGGCCCGTGAGGCTTAAGGTTTGTTTTTAAAAGAGGCTTTCGGGTTTGGGGCTCATAGGTTAAGATTGGTTTCTGGCGGTTTCCGGTGTCTCCGCTCTTCTGGTTCAGCTATCTTGGACCGAGCTTTCCCAGCGTCTAGGAAGGGGGTTGGATGAGTGGTGTATGTAATTAAGGCTACCTTTCAATGTTACTCATCGCGAAGTTTAAGATGGTCAAGAGTGTTCTGGCTTTTGCTCTTTGATCTCGATGTGTTCGATGTTGGAGGCTTACTCATAGCTTTCTTGGGCCTCTGCTGGGTGCTTGCATCTCGGTCCAGTGCATCGTGACGTGTGCTGGGTGCTTTGTCGGGTTCTGTGTGGCTTGAGCCCTGACATCCGGCAGCTTTCCGGCCAAACCCGAGAGCAGTCAGCATGTTAGTCTCAATGCAAGTACTGAGGTGTGGTGATCCAAACACCGCCTAGCAACAACATAGAGACGGGTGGCGCTCCCCTTGGGACCAACCTCTTTCAAGCAAAGTGTCCGAACTCAACCCCTTTTCATAGTGAGACCAGCACAGGTTGCGTCTGGCATCAAGACCGAGCAGAAACCGGACGGGTCCATCGACAGCCACCCTGCATTTCAGTTCCATCCCATCCAAGGCTTGCGCGAGCCACGCGATGCGGTCTCTCGGGTCCTGATTTTCAAGCCTGTATGGGCGGAGGACGTAGCCCAAACCGTGAATGCGTTTGTCGGGTATTGGGGGTTGTTAGAGACTCGCAACAGTAATCATGAGGCTCTGTCGTCGCAAACTAATGCTAGGTAAAGAGGCCTTGTCTTTCATGAATGTCCTTTGCACATGCTTCGTTAGGACACGGTACGGGGTGGTCCTGAACGTGGGATGCTGGAGACTCTTTCAGTAACGTTTGTTTGTCCGGGCTCCTGTCCTTGTGCTCAAAAAGGATAGCTGCATGTTGTAGCCTTATTCTCGTCCGGATGGCTGAAATTTCGAAACGCAGGTCAACAGCGAAAACCTGAAGCCTGTGTCCCCACACCCGAAACCCGATTCTGCAAAGCTTCAGTTCATCAATTCTAGATTTCCCGACCCTAAACCTTTCCCTCGACCATTGATGTCCTCAGTCTGATACTTCCTCACGGCTTTGATGCTGGCAGCAACTCAGGAACCCGAAACTTACAACCGAAGCCTCGAACCCAAACCCTAGACCCTAAACCCTAAACCCTAACCCTAAACCCTGAACCCTAAACCCTAAGCCCTAGAATGCAGGTTGGACGCCCGACTTCATCCCACAGATGGCAGCGAAGGGGCTACAGGAGACTTTCCAGGCAAACCTAAAGTCTCCACACTTGGAGTTTGGAGGGTGTCTTATTTGGAGTGTCCGCTGCGCGACTCAAGTTTTTTTCAGATTTAGAGACTCAGGGGTAGGGTTCAGGGTTAAGCTAGCGGCGTAGGGGTTTAAGGGGGTAGGGTTTTCTTTAGTAGTAGAGTGGTCAGCCTTTAACCCTTTTGGGCTACCGGTTAGCCTTTAGTTCTGGACAAGTACGTTATAAGGGTTCCGGATGTAGGACGAATGGAAGGACGCAGTGTGCACGAGCTTTTGCGGTTTGTGGCTTCATTTCAGGAGACCGGCTACGATGAGTACATCCCTGTGCCGAGTGACGCAGCCATCGACATGTCCCAGGCCCAAAGATGCATGGTTTAGGGTTTATAGGGTTTATAGGGTTTATAGGTTTAGGGTTTGCGTCACGCACTGGTTTCGTTCAAGGGCCCCCCCCAAGAGCTTCGACAAAGAGGGCAAGGGGAGAAGGTCTACGCAGATCCTGAGCTCCTGCGGATGTATCTATGAGGGTATGAGGGTTACTTCTAAGGTTTAGGGTTTAGGGTTCAGGGTTTATGGTTTGGGGAAGCATACCCCCGAGACTGCGAAATCCGGCACCTTCCTACGGCCAAAGGCCCAGTCCCCAAAATTGAATATTCCGAATTCCCTTTCTGTGCGGCAAATGAGTTGGGTCTCGTACACTTTGCATGTGCTTTGGTCTCTGTGGTCATGTTGGTGATATTATGAAAGTCTGCTTGGCATTTGGTGCATGTACCAGAAACATATATGGCACCTTGAATGACCCTCTGCAGCTTCAACGTTTCAAAGGCACTAAGCAAAAAGCACCGGCAAGCTCTCCAGAATCCTGCGCAATTAAAATTTTGCATCTCTAAACCCTCAGCCCTGAGACCAAAACAGCAAACTCCCAAACAATCTTCCTAAACGCTCAGTAAGCCCCCCTTGCAAAAGCCTCGTACTGCAGATGATAGGCCCTATCCCAACCTGCCTCAGTCCAGGCCTTGGCAAAGACGCAGGGGATCTTGACCGGTATCTCCGGCGGCGCCTCCATGAACCTGGGACAGCTCATCTTTGGGGTCTCGGGCTTGAGAGCACGAGGGGGCTATGGCGCTGCATGTATGTAAGGACATGCAATGCAAGTCAAAGAAAGCAATGGCATGGCATGGTGTGGTACTCGTATGTTCTGTTGGCATGTGCGGGTCCGAGATCAAGTTGATGCTCCGTCGCATATGAGCAGATTGCCAGCTGTGTAGACAGGTGAGCCCAATTTGTGAGTCGTTTGTGAGCTTCCTAGCTGTGTCGCGTGTCGCAAAGTAGTGGCAACAGTCAGGGATCGTGCGCGCCCACGGCGCCATGCTCACAACTTTCAATGTTCCGGGCACCTGAAATCAGCATCAAAGGACCACGCCATAGGGGTTTCCATTGGTGAATGGGGGTGAGGAGCGCAGCGCCTTGATCATAGTTTAGATTTCATACGAGCGGAGAAAGCAAGGCTTCGGGGCACTTCCTTTTGACTGAGCCCAAGCTGCAAATCCAGCAGGCCACCGAACAATTTTTCGAAGTGCTAGGCCCTGAAGGCCTCCAGCTTTACATGAGCGACAAAACCCTAAACCCTAAAACCCTAAAGCCCTAAACCCTACAACCCAAAAGCCCTAAAACCCTAAACCCTAAAACCCTAAAGCCCTAACCCTAAACCCCTAAACCCTGAACCCTAAACCCAAACCAACCCTGAGCTGCTAGCCCCAATGTCAGCCCAGGTATGCCGCGGTGGAGGTGGCCAAAAAAGCCCCTGAAGGGTCTGTGGTGGTCGCCATGATCCCTGACACTGGCGAGCCTGGTTCATATTTCTTTGTTTAGGGTACCGACGTGCTGTTCACGCGCGCCGCGCACAGGCCGACCGCATCGGTATTTGCGGTGTTTCGTGGACTTTGCAGCTCAGAACGCTCCGCCTCTCGTGTGTTCTGGGGGGGAGCAGAAGCGCCGGCGTGGAGGCATGAAACCCTTGGTATTTACGGTATTTC